GCAGTTGTGGAGCGCGGACCCACGAAGGCTCCGATACTCGAGTTCTGATGCACGGCCCGCGGGCCGTGGCGCTGACCGTGTACCTGCAGCCTGCAGCGGTAATTCCGGACACCAGGATCCTCCTCAGCGATGGATGCACTGCCCTGAGGGAAAATAGCAACCCTGGGTAGAGTGTTCGAGCTCTATATCATCATCCGCGTATCTCTCGAGAACGTTTCGCAGGTCGCTCGACCGACAAGTCGATAGGGAATCGATAAGGAAATCTCGGTTTCGATGATAACGCCTACCAGACGATCGTTCCTGAATCGCAGTGCAGGTGTACACCGTCTTCGTGGCTTGGACTTCAATAGTTCTCAGCCATTGAGGTCCGATGCAGAAACCCCGCCCTGGTTCCTCGTACCGCCTTTTTTCGACTTGGTTCACACTTTCGAGCGGATAAATAAAGAAGGCCGAGCCGATCGTGAGGCCCCCCGATTCACATACACAACAAAAAAGCCACGCCGACGATGGCGCCGCTGCCGCTGTCGATGTCAGAATTATCGCAATGCCTCGCGTACACTGCCCGTCCCGATCGAAATATTTCCCCATCATTATCGTTTTCAATCTATGTCGGTGTTCTATGAAAAAACGCTCCTAAGACATGCCTCGGCTCTTCACGATTTTCAATAGACGAGGATGCTCCCTTGAGTTGCTCGAGAAGAGAAACTCATTTTTTCAAGAACAATATTTCTTCATCATATTGTCCGAGCTAAATGGAAATATCGCAGACCAACTTGGAATGAGCTCACTCGCTGAAGATACTGATTGTGAGTCTCGTGGCCCAAAAGAATTCTGGGCCGTTACCACGGCATTGCTTCTCGCGTCGCTGCCAGGTTTGCCTCGCGCTGGTCACCTCGATCTCGAGCGTTCGACATGAGAGATTGCATCCGCCGGCGAATGTTCATGTTCATCTCACGGTAGTTGCTGTCTGTTGGTGGTACCATCACGGCCCGTTCAGTGAGAAGTTGAACATGAGGCCCGTCTTTTCCATGCCAATGGTCCACTAAACGCCATGAGACAGACCACCACCGGCGAGCCGCGGATGCCTCCGGACTGTTTGGCGTCTCGATGGTCGTAATTGTCGAAGCCCTGTTTCTGTTGTGTTTAGAATATTGTCGATCTTCGGACACCGACTTCAAGGCTGACTTGCGAGCTCTCGATACCGTCCCGAGACGAGCACGGTACGATCACTACTCCGAGTATGTGTTCGTCGGCGCATCGTCGAGCGCAAATTCTCGGGAGTTCGGACTACCTCAATCGTCGCCGTATTGAACACAATTTCCCACAGGTCGGCTCGGTTTATCACGGTCACGGAGCATCTCCAGGCTTCAGATTTATTTTCGTTGCTATTCTAGGGGGAGTCGTGGATTCCCTGGTGTCCTCCGATTCAGGCTGGAACAACGCGGAAAGATACCTTGGGCCCAGCGTCAGCATCCGCGATGTGGGCGGCTGGTCTCTACCACGCGATTCTTGACCCTTTTTCGGAAACGGGGAAGCGGATACCTCGCGTGTGGCGGGATTGTCCCAGCGATCAATTCGCTCCAGCCTCCAAGGCGCACGACATGGAAGTAATTCCCAGCTGAGGAGAAGCATCTATTTCTCCGGAGATCATTGTTGCAGACAAATTCGCTTGTCAGAACATTCTGGTTACCGATTGGAGAGATCAGCGATGCCCGTCCCAGGACTCTGAGATATTCGAGAGCAAAGGAGCGAAAAAAATGTGGGATCGCTCCTCGGCTCCGGATCTGAACCTTTTGAGGGGAAAAAGACTCCAATGCAATCGTTCTGAATGGACGCGTCGTGAAGAATCGCGAATCAGTCGAGCGAGACGAGTCAGAACGTACAAAGAGGCGAGGGAAGACACTCTCGGACAACGCAGAGAACTCGGGATGGAGTACGAGCTCAGGATCTAAGGAGGGCTCAGAGTCAGGCTCCCTCTCTCAGATCGGCCCGGTCCTTCGCCTTAAGTGTCGAGGCTCCGCCCAAGCCACTGAGAGCTCGGTCTCAGCTTGGCCTCAACAACCTCAACTAAGGAGAAGACTTGGGCCGGTCCAGAGCAATAAGCAATAAGGGAAAAAGGATTCACAAAGTTCCTCGGCCGACGCTCGCCACGCAGTCGAGGGCACGGCCAGGGGTTGTTCTCCCTTTTCCCCCGGAGTTTCCTTCCGCCATAAACCTGCGCAATTCCCACCGAGGTGAACTCTCTTTTCAGCCTCTTCGAAGAAGGACGAGCGTTCGACGAAAACTAAAGTTCGTCCCGAAAACTTTGCGAGGCAGGGCGTCGCTTCCGCTTCCCCCGGACTCTCATACACGCACTGTCGTAGACACGCAAGCCCGCGGCGGAAGTTTTTTCCGATGGAGTCAGGAATCAGAACCTTCATCGGCTCTCCGTGAGGACACCATCATTTGATATTCGAGTCTAGAGGTTAAAAAATTCGTCTGGCTTCCAGCGATTATTCAACACCAGGTCCGAATCCGCGACAAACCCCCCGAATCGAGAAGGAGTCCCGAGACGGAACGCTCCCGACGAACTCCGGAATTCTTCCGGCTCTTGGATCGCGTTCCGACTTCCGACATCCCGAATTCCATCTCCCACCCCCGTCGCAACAGCACGGGCTCGAGTTAGAAAACTGTATCTTGTTTCCAAGAGCAACTAAAGAGCACCCTGAAACGTCAAGGAGCGACAAGCAACCTTCGTCAAACCTCAAACTCCTTTTGAAAAACTCGCCAGTCGTGGCGGTAGTAGAAGAAGACGACGACGGGGTAAGAAGAGGGGGAGGGGGTAGTTGCCAAAGCAGCTTCCTTCTTCTGCTGCGAGTCTCTCTCGCTTGCCAGCCAGCCAGCGAGCGAGTCAGTCTCCCTCCCGGTTTGTGTGCGATGATGGTGCTCCCCCCGTGTATGAGAGTGAGTCTGTATGTGCGCGAGGTGGGGGAACGAGGGGAGGGGTGCCCTTACCACCGTCATTGCAGCTGCAGCGGCGCTCCAGTGGTGGTGGCAGTCGAGGCTGCCGCCGCCGCCACCACCTTCTCCCAGGCTGCGAGAGCGGCGGCGGCGGCGACGACGACTATCGGCAAGAAGAACGACGACTCTTTGAGTGAGCGATAGAGAGAGGGAGAGAAGTAACGAGAGGCAAGCGACCCTTTCCTCGATGGTGCGGGTCCGTGATGACGTCAGCAAAATGGGCGTCAATTTCGGCAGCAGCAGCGGCGGCGGCGCGGCTGTTCCACTGGCGGCGGCGCCTGGCGAGGAGGTGACGCTTAGACCACACCTTCGGCGATAGCGGCGGCACCAGCGAGAGCGGCAGAGCCGCCTGCCCGCCCTCCCGTAGCCAACCCGCCAGCCAAGCAGCACTGTGCGGGCCTGCCTGCCTGTTAGCCGGCTAGCTAGGTTGATGCTGTCGCTGCTGCTGCTGCTGCCGCCGCCGCTTCCGCCGCCAGAGCACCACCACCACTAAGCAGAGAAGCACCGCGCGCGTTGAACAGACACCCAGTCAGCGTGCCAGCCGAACGAGCGGCCGGCCAGCCAACCAACCAACCGGCCCGCCATCCAGCTATCCATACAACAGTCGGCTGACGGACGGACATAGAAAGAGACCGACGGACGGAACGACGGACGGACAAACCGACAGACGGACGGACCGAAACACTACCACCACCAGCAGCGCCAAAGAGCCTCTCGCTTGCTCGCTAGCTCAGAAGGCGACGGCCGTCGTCGCAGAGCCTTCAGAGGAACGAGCCAATCGTCTTCGTCGCCTGCAGCCGCTGCCGCCGCTGCCACCACCACTGTCGTCGACAACAACACCACCGCCGCCGCCGCCGCCATCACCACCACTATCACCATCTCCACACCAACACCACGGCCACCACGATCGTCACCATTTGGTATTGGCAGGCAGGCCGTGAGCACACTGGTCGACCGACAAAGCGATCGCTCCACCGGAGTCCGTCAGACCTCTCGCGGAGAGTGAGTGTGTGTGATCCCCCCTATGAGCAGTGAGCGATTCCAGCAGTTGGAGGGCATCGAGTCCGGGACTGCGGTTGCTGCCACACCTGCCAGTCTCCTTTTCGTGGCGATGAAAACGTACGCAAAGATCTCAGTGAGCCTTAAGGGAACGCCCGCCCCTCTGTCAGTCAAGTGAAGTGTTCTCCTAGCTTCCTCCGCCGCCAGTGTGAGTCCTCAGTGGTTCTCCTGCTTCCTGAGAATTCCAAATCGATAAACTCTTCGAACCCTTCGTCCTCCTGGGAGTTCACGATCTTCGGTCGCTGGGAAACCCTAAGTCCGGGGAATCTGAGGGAACTCGTGGCATCGAAGAAGCTGCTGGGACCCAGCTGATCCAAGAAGAGAAACTGCTCAATTAGAGAGGTTCGGGCTCGCGCTGATCGCCCAGTCTGTGTAGTGTCGGTGGATGTGCGACATGCGATGTCGTTGCGGTGATAACAAACGTGATAATCAGGAGACGTGAAACGTACGTCATAGTTTGATAGAAGACCGGAAGCGAGCGGGACTTTCGGGAGGTCGAGTTGCAGGCAAAATAGCGACGAGCGGTAACTTCGTTCCGTCGACTCGGAAGCTGCGATCCCCTTCGCGAACCGAATCCGTCGTGAGAGGAAGCGACCGAGCGTCAATGTGTGAGTGCGCGAGTGCAAAGCCCGAAGGAACTCTTCCCCAAGAGTTGTGATCCGACTGGGAAATCTGTTCAAATCACATCGACCCGCTCAGGGCTTCTGAACTTTCATCCTCATCTGCCGACTTGCCGCGGTCGGGGCTGCTTATCGCCTCGCAGCCGTGTATTCGGTATCGTCCTCAGTGTCGCGTCCGATTCCGATTGATCGATCGATTGATTATTTAGTGTGTGTGTCCTCGCGTCCTCGAGGCGCTGAGCTCTACGACGCGGCGTCCTGCCGTCGAATACAGACTGAATTTAGCGTGCTTCTGATGTCTGAACTCCTGTCGTGCTCCTGATGCGGTTCGATATTTCGCGAGCTCCGGTTCCTTCGCTGTCCAGCGCAATGGCCGCCTTTCATCCGAACCCGTTCCAAATCCTCGGTACGACGACGTCGCCGCAGCCGAGCCAAAGATCGAGTTCATCGACGACGACCGATTTCTCGATGCACTCGATTCTCAACCAACACGGTGGGAATAGTCCTAACGCGGCTCAGCTCTCGGTCCCCCCGGGACTCTTACCCAGTCATCTGCTGGGCTCGCCGTTAGGGTCCACGGCTCCTACGGTGGAGGATGACGGGATATGCGACGATCCAAAAGTGGCCCTCGAGTCGAAAGATCTCTGGGACAAATTCCACGAACTCGGCACCGAGATGGTCATCACGAAGTCGGGCAGGTCAGTAAACCCCTAGTTATAAGAGGGAAATGTCTGTGACCGGGATTTGGGAACACTTCGACGAGGAACGAACGACTCTTCGAAATTCTTCGGATCTATTCGAAGGGAATCGGTGGATGCCGCGCCCGAAAATCTCCTCTCGCACAGTCACACCGAGTCCAGAGGGGCGTCCCGCCTTTTGATAAACCTGTGACCCACATAAACTGTAAGCTGAATAGAAGTCGCCGGAGGCCGTACAAACACGCATAGTCTCAAGTTTCGAGTGTTCAATACGGGCTCGATCCCGCAACGATCCGAGTCGATGTCAAAGCAATCTCAGTGCAAACGGGGTATCATCCGATACCCCCGTTAGAGCGAAACTCGCGGACTTTTTTCTCCCGTGTCGAAGTTATTTCAACCCACTCTCCCGTACCTACGCTGTCGACTCCAATGCGGGGAAGAAGAATTTTGAAGCAAAAGAGACCATCCTCGGATTTCGCCTTCGTCGAGAATCTTCTATAAGTGCAACCTCTTCACCTTTCGAGCTGAAAGCGCCCCCTAGTGTTTCGAGAGGACAACTTGAGGAAATTTTCCTCCTTTCCCCCCGCAACTTACCAAACCTAATTTGATTTGTCGACGTCGGGGTGGATCGAGGAACAACTGATCGCGATACACGAGAGAAACGGGGGCCGCAGCCTTAGTTAGGAAGAACAGGCACGCGAATGGAATGTATCTTCTCCGGAGAACACGCGCTCCATATGCCAGTTGGGACTAGAGTATGAATGAATGATATATCCAGGAAGATAGTTTCGTCTAAGGATCGAATCTCCACTACCCAGTGAGAACTCGTCAATCATGCTGAGAAAGGTGCATTGCGAATTGGCAACCGAGAATCACAAGAAGTTGAACGTGAAGCCGCGACATTTTATCGGAGACACTCTCGCGAATTTCATTGTGCTCCGCAGTCTACGGGTGATCATCGAGCTCGGCGGATGATGAGTCTTCACTCGATTGTGTTGAGGACGGGCACAAATCTTTAATGAGAAATCTCGGTGCTCTTTCCGCGCAGTAGAGGGCGGAAACCTCGGCGTCGGAAATCTCCGCCCGTATCTGATATCAGTTTGAGAGCCGAGGTGGTCCGGACGGGGATTGAACCTCATCTGCTGCTCGGATCTCGACTTAGCCGGTTAGCCAGCCCGCCAGCCAGGCAGCCAGCCAGTCAGTCGGTCAGTCAGTCGAAACGGCCCACTCACTCTCGCTACTCCCATTCATAGTTTTAGCATTCACGTGTGCATTCGGGACGGGTGCTCGATACGTCTCGTCCGTCCTCCCTCTCTCTCCAGTCGGTCCGATTATCTGTTTCCGCAAAAAAAGTCTTCCGTCGGAGTCTCGACGTCTCCGGCTTTAACCCCTTCAATCGACGACGGGGCAGGTCGTCTGACCGACTGACTGGTCGACTGGTTACAGCTTATTAGCAGAACCCAGTCTCTGAAGAGCTTCAGCGTCAACTCGAGCCTGGGACCTCGACGAGTGTTCCAAAACGCCCGACGGTTCCTGAATGGATTCCGGTTCGAAAACGAACTCTCACGACACACGACAGAGAGTATTCCCGACCGGAATCGACTCCGAGCGACGCTACAGGGGAGATCAATAGGACACGAGGAGAGGAAAAAGAAGAACGAGAACGCTCTGGAGACTTGTCGCGAGACGTGTCGGTTTCCGGAACGCCTCACGTATCGCTCTGTTTTTATTTTCGAGAATACCCGAAACTTCCCGATAAGCGTCGCCTTGTTTGCGGTGAATGGTGACGAGTGCGAAAATGTTGGTTCTAGTTCTTCCCTTCTAGAGCGCTCAGATCGGATTTCGGTCGGACGCGTGGTCGCGTTCGGAGCATCTTGTTGTCCGTGCGAGTACAGTTACGTCGTCTGTCTGAAAGACGTGAAACGTCTCATTCTACGAAATGACTTTTGACGGATTCCGGTCTCAATTTACGCCTGATGCATGATCTGTTTTCGATAGCTATCCCGAGCGACAAGCCGGCATCTCACCATCTCCACGAGTTATATAAAGACCGTTTTAACACTCGATCCCGGCTCCAACGGAGTTCTGCTATCCTCAGATGTTCCGTGGAGCGGCTTATCAAAAAACGAGATGATCGACGGAAGAAAATCGAGAAAATGAGGACTTGGACTCATTCGAATCCGCAGTCGTCGCCGGGGCTGATTCGGGCTCCTCCTCAAATCCTCACTCCCCAGGAATTACTCGAAGCAGAGCGTTACGGAGACCGATCCCGGAGCCGATTGTTCACGTCCAGAAAATCGAGCGACTGGAATTTTCTCGATGTGTCGCAAAGGGGATCGAACTGAATAATCGAAATGATTCTCTCATGTACGTTTGCGGGGATGCTCGGCGCTGCCTCGGCCGCCGATGCGGCTGGTGGAGGGCCTGACGACAAGCCAAACGCTTCATGGTGGTCGAGTGTTTGACGGGATCGCTTCAAGAAGCCATCAAGACATCGTTGGCCGCTTGGTTGAGGCCGTTGAGCCTTCATCTCTCTGAGCTGAAATTCAACCAATTTGATCTTGTTAGCAGCGGCAAATCTCTCAACTGGCATTCTGTTTTCCCCTCCTCCTTCGCTTCCCTCTCTCTCTTCACGATGAAACAGAAAATATAGAAAAGTGCATCATGAAAAAAGTATCGTCTTCACGGGTGGCAAATGTGGCTATTCCTCTGGAGAAATCAGCCGTGTGGCCTCTATGGGCGGTTCTTGCTTCGTTCGAGCTCGTTTGCTTAAACAAACGGCTCTTTCTTTTCCTCTTTTTCTTATATTCTCCCCGAGCGCATCTATATCCATGCTCCTGTCCTGAGACACGGCTTGTTTGGAGAAGAGCCTCTCGACTCGCGATTCATTCACTCTCTGAAGTATCAAGCTTCCGAACCTTGTCCCGAAACTCGACCAACACCCGAGACCTGAGCACCGGCGCGACGGCTGCGAGGATTCCCTCGGACGAGCGAATGGAAATTTGTTCTCTCAATCGGCCATTTCCCATGTCGCTCCATTCATCCTTTCTTCTGAATGACCGAATGATGGAAACGGCGTTTTTGCGGGAAAAAGAACGGACCTGCGGACGACGACGCGCCTCTGCTTTTCCATCCGGTCGGCCGGCGGTCACAAAACGATGGACAAGAGCCGGGAACAAACCGAACACTGCGGGCTCGGAATCCGACTCAACAGTGTCTCATCGCTGACTGAGATCTCCATAGTGTCGATGCCTCGCACTGAGTAATCGCATCCCTTGCTGAGCTCCAGGACCTCTCGAGCGAGGCCCTGACAATTCCTTGCGGTTGTGCGAAAGAAAATCATGGCGATAATGGCAACTCGATTCCTCGGAATCACACACAGAGCGGTCGTTTCCGTCGGCCACTTAGCGAGTCGGGTAACCTCTGGGTCGGTCGGTCGATGCGTCTGTTTGTCTGCCACGCCATCATCACCATCATTCGTAACTAGTCAAAACAGCCGCCTGAGTGGAGCAGAGTGAATTCACGGTGATCCGCGGGCGTGGTCGACAGCGGCGGCCATCTGGGAGAACTGAGTTCACGACGACGACGACAGCTTCATTCAGGGCGCTAGTGTCTAACAAGCGAGCTGGCGGACCAACGGATGGATAATCGAGCTTAGCGTGCCGCCGTGGACCGACTAGTCAGTCCGCAGTTCATTCCCTGCGGTCTTCAGTACACTAGTCGCTCACTCACTCACTCGTTCATTCAACAGAAGCAACGAGAGCTCAAAGAGGGCTAGACATTGGGCCAGCTCGCCCAATGATGAGCTGCCAAGTTTCCGACAATTGTTTTCGCTCTGAATCTTCGCAGCGAGTGCAATCTGAAGCGCGATCGCTCTCTAAACGAGCGCTCTCACAGAATGGCCTGATGAGGGTTCAGATTGGATCTCAAACCGATAACTTCATGGTGAACGTAATGAATGCTGAGGCATGGGATGCAAGGATGAGGCATAGTAAGCTCCATGGAACAAGTGACCGCTATTCCAACGTTCGCGAGCCCAATCCGGAGATGAGACCGCTCATGGAGGCTGCAAATAAAAAATGCTCCTTTGCGTCGATTTCACCGCCGGGGAAATTCGCCGTGTTCTTGAAAACTTCAGGAGATGATCAAGGCATCAGAAATACTGATTTTTATTTTCGACAACGGTTAGCGCCATCATTCGATCAAAACTCTCCGGCCGAGCGATTGTTGAGCGCGCAGCGAAACCTTGAGTCAGACAGGAACCGAGTGAGAATCGTTCCCCCTAGGCGAATTAGCATCACACGTCTTCGATGGTTCTGTGCCTTACGGACAAACAGATAGACTGCGGCGAAGACGTACCGAACGGCGGTCCGAACAACCGGCCGACCGCCCGACAAACCAACCAGCTAGGCGACCGAGCGTCAAACCGCCTAGCTTTGGTGAAGTTCTCGAAGTGCGGTGAAGTGCTGCGTGTCGACTCTCGTCACCCGTCATGCGTGTTGTCATTAGCGGGCAGGCAAGAAAAAAACAATTTCGAGATTAAATCTCCACCAGTGCCTAGTTTTTTCCACTTTCCTGACTCTTTGAAAGAAAAAAAAACAGATCCAACCCAGATAGCATAGATGGATGGCACGACCACCGTTCGTTGTGAATCGTTGTAGGACTGACTTGTACCTGTGGTCTTGGTGGTCGCACGCTAGTCTGTTCGAAAAAGCACAGTTCCCCCTTTCGAAGTTGACGTTTCACTTCGCAGAAACGCCAAGGTTAAGCCTTGCGTGGATCTTTTCTGTCAATTGAATGAAAAACTTCCCCGACTCTCTTCGATGCCTTTCGCGTCAAACCTTGAGTTGAAATGAATTCAACGAGTTATTCCTTTTACGGTTGGGAAATGACAATTTTTTCGTTAACCGGACAACATCCGAACTTTTCGAACCTCACGAAAAGACCTCCGTGTGAATTCAACGGACCATATAGCCAAATGAACGGGAACAGAAGGGAAT